CATTAAATCTCTGTTATTTATAATGATATAAGAGATTTTTGAGGATTTTTTTATCATGCTAGAAAGTGGTTGTAATATGAGTCTGTGAGTTGAAGACTTTCTTTAGCTATTCTTTTGTAGACTTTCTGTAGCCATTTGTCTCTTTGTAATTGAAGTTACAACTTCACTATTTCATTTTGATGATGTCCAACTGTGAAAATGATGTTAGATTCATGAATAGAGTAATAGCAAATAATAAGTAGGATGGTTGAAAACCTTATATATGTAGAATTTTCTGGCAGTTTCTACTGCTACTTGTTTTAACTGCTTCAAATAATGTACATTTTAAGTGTTGGGTTTGAAGGTATTTTGATCTAGCTTTGTTATTTCTTGAAATTCTAATAGTTTTAACATCTTTGAAACTTCATTGCAGAAAAATAGCTCAGTTCTTAGACTGGGGTTTTTCTTTCAAAATAAACTTCAGTAAAAACTGAAGCTTGGGAAGCTCAAGCCTGCCAAGAACTCCCTCTGAAAATGATGTTAGCAATGGACTGTCACTGAGTTTTCTGCCCTTAGAAATGCATCATGTGGTTCACTGCAGTATCCAAACAGTCATGAGAGTATTTACTCTTGCAAATTTCTGTTAAAGCAGTAAAATGCTATTGTTAAGATGCAGAACTAAGGCAGTGACTAGCACATATTTCCATGGCAAATCTGCAGCAATATTTATATTCCTTTAACCAGCACCTAAAGCATCAACCACTAAATCTGGCAATAGATTTTTTTCAACGTGCACTACTTTTCTTCTGACTAATAGTACTTTGTAAATCTGATGATAAATTTCTTTTAGGACAGGCATGTATTTTAGGTAATATTTATTTTTATTTCTGAGAAAAGGGTTTTGTTTTTTTTTTCTTCTGTCCTAAAATAATCAACTGCAATTGTGTTTCGAATGTAATAGAGAACTTCAAATAGAATCAGAATGCAAATAATTTTTGCTTTGCCTATAATTTATAAATAATGCATAAAACCAGAGGAGCAAACAGAATTTTATCAATGCTCCAAGCATTCAGGTTTGTGTAAATTAGAGGGAAATGGGGCCTCAACACTTAATGAACCTTAGGACACAAGGAGAGGCAGGGTGATTTAGGTATCCCAAAAGAGCCATGCAATAGTCTGTATACTTTCAACCAATGCATAAGAAATTAAACTCATGTATTTAGATCTTTTTGGCCTGGCTTCTCATTCAATAGGTCTAACTTTGTCTTCTGGATTTTAGGTACAGTATTTCAGGGAGAGTCTATGGCATATGTAATGGGAATGATGTTTTCCTTAGAAGCCAGATGCTATTCAGTGCCATGAAAAAAGATACAATATATGTTTGGAAGAATTATTTCAGCATGTAGGTGCTTTATTTAAAGGACATTATATGCTACAAATTATTGAGAAGCTAAAGATACAAACACAGCTGAGATTTCCATCAAATGAGGTGTGTTTTTGCTTCAGAATGTTTTATTTGTTCTGTGTGTGATTTATGACAATGTTTGTGCGGTTGGAGCACCAATTCTGACTCAGGAGTTACGAAGCTGCAAATTGTTGGTCATTGAAAGGTGTGTTGGCAGGAAAGTACAATTAATGCTTACCTTGTTCTCTTTTTCCTAGGTGTCTGGTGTAGGTATAATATATATTTTAGAGACTGAATGTTGGGCAAGTTGGAACTGGTTTGGCCCAGTATGGCTCGTGTTCTGAATGCAGAAGTGTAAGGAGAGAGGCCTAGTGATTCCAAGGTCTGCGCCTTGCAAAGTGGCCAAAAAGTTATATGAGTTTTTTGTCTCTTTTGTGTTTGTTTTAGGAACTGAATAAATTGTTGAAATAATTTAGAAATATATTCTTATATTGTGCCTGATCATTGTTGTTTTTGCCAAAGAACCCATAGATCCAATTATTGTGTTCATCTGAAATTCTGGCTCTTATGAATATGTGCGTGTGTCTTATGGAATTACTGGTAAGAAAAGAATATTAAATAACTCCTGAAAAAATAAAGGTGAGCAGTAAAGACAAGTAATGAAAAAAAAAAAACCAAGGAAAAAACAGTTTAAAATTTTAAAACTATTATTTTACTAACTACTATTAATAGTAATTAGGATTAATAATAACTATTAGTTACTACAAATTATCCTGATGCAACATATGATTGTACAGTCTTGCACTGCTTAAAGTTACTATTGTAGGCCTTGCTTGTGCTCTGAAAACAATGCCTTGAATTTGAGTGGTGCAGCCTCATGGAAGAGAGCTGTGATGTAGTCCTTTTTCCTTTGTGTTTGGCATAGCTTGAGTAAGAGGCCTTTTTTGTGGACAGTCAGCTCAGACAGTGTGCTGCTAACATTCTCAGTATGTTCTTAACTTTTAACTTCCCTTGTTTGAGACAGAATTTAAATAGAACTTCAGAGGCAATTTTTTTTCTCTTGTCTTACCATTAATTTTATTATCTGATTTGGTTTATTGGATGCTTGTTACTACAGAGGACTGAAAGTATACAGTGAAACTTGGTTTCAGGCTGAAATTTACTAAGAAACTATCTAGTGTTTGCTGGTGGAGGAAGTATCCTAGGGGAAGGCATTACAAGCAAATGGCACTTTTTATATAGGACTAACTTTGACTGCCAAGAAAGAACGTGGTCATAGCAAAAACCTTGTAATTGTACTCATGGATAGATTTGCAAAATATTCTCACTGAGAATTAAAATAAAGGCTATAATCGGTGTGGTTAATGTGGATCAGGGATTTCATCAATCACTATGTTATTTGGAGTTTTATCCAAAGTATTTAAATTAGCATAAAGCACAGTTTGCTGTTATATTAAAACATTAAACATGCATTAGTTTACTCCTTGGTTTGTAGAAGACATAACTGATTGCTATGTCATTTCTCTTTGCTGACATGGTGAGGAAAGAAGGATCGATTGTTGTCAGAAATACAGACAAATGTCTGTTTTGTAGAACAATGGAAAAGACCAAGGTTCCAGTTCCATTGGATTGCTCATCTCTCTGCTAAAGGATGTGCCAACTGAAGTGCAGCGTTAGGCAAGAGTGACCAGTGTGGGTTGTGAGCTCCTCGTGCGAGCTGGGAGCCTGGCAGGAGCTGAGGGCCTTGGACAGAACTGTGCAGCCACTCTTGGACTGGAGCCGGTCCGGCTCCAGTAGAGCAGGCAATGAACAGAAGCAGTGGAGTCCTGGAGTAAACTGCCTTCATGTAGTCTGTTTTGTGTGTCTCTGGACTGTGCTTATCAGCTGCTTTCAGTATGAGGAACACAGTGTTGGAAACTCAGGCTCTGCGTTTCAAAAAAGCAGTTCTGGTGCTGCAGAGTTGAGGCTGTCTTTGGAGCAGAGCAGCTGCTGTGTGCATAGACTGCAATTTCAGAAGGCTGCCTTGGTCTGTGATGGTTCATGCCAGGCATTGAGTTCAAGTGTCTTACCTGAAAATCACAAATGTCTAGATTGTTAGTCATGAGCATGAATTGGAACAAGAGCAGACTGAAAGGAAAATGAAGTGGTTGGTTGATCAGCTGGTATATCTTAGTGCTAGATGTTAGCATGATGTCTACCCCTAATTTTTGATATTTCTGTTGATTATGAATGCTTTTTCTAATCAAACAAGTTTTCTGATAGGGTTTAGAGAGAAGAGGTAATGTCCCTCTACTTTATCTGAGAGAACATTCAGAATAGTAAATAACTTCCATTTAGGATTTCCCTATAATGTTTTGCTCTTTACTTGCATCAGGCCCTAGAGCTGATGTGTTATCATTTCAGTTGAATATATGTCAGTGTTGAATTTTTGCTCAGAAATACTTTGGGAGCACATAACCACAGAGCAGGACATAGAAACTCATTCATAAGAAAAGTCATCAACTTCAATATGAATAATCCTTGTAATTTTTGGAGATTAGATGTTTTCTTTGTCTTTGCAATTTTGCCAGTGCTAATCTAGATAATGAATCATTCCTGGCAGAGAAGTTTTTATAGGAAATCTTTGGTTCTTTTCATAAAACTAAGTAGCCCAAGACATTTACTGCTGAGGCATATTTTGTGTTTTGTAGATGAAGCTGTAAACATTAGATGAAGAGCAGGGATGGGAAACAAAGTTTCTGTATTATTCTATGCCCATTCTCCTACTTTTTAATTACTGGTTAGTAATTAAAAATGCAGGTGCATTCCTTTATGCTCTCCAGTCCTGAGCTGATGTATCAGTGTTTAGATAATCCTCTATTGAGCTGCAGTGTATGGCTCAGTTATCCTTACTGTAACTAAGCTTTTGTGGGGGACAAATAGGGAGGGAATCTATTTTTTCTTCTGACATTGAATCTATTTCTTCTCTACATCCTCTCTCTATTTCTTTAGTTTTTACCAGAGACCTTCGTCCTATTAAAAAAATTTGGAAGGAAGAATCACAGTGGCTTCTTTGAAATTAACTTTGGTTTAACAGTCTTTATAGCTGAAAAGAAACAGTGAAATATATCATCCAAAGCAGTAGTAAGAATGGGAATACAGAAGTTTAGTGATTGTGATGACTTTTTAAATCCTTCTTGTTGAGGTGTAATACATGAAAGGAAATACAAGACACAGCACTTTGGTGTCTGGGAAGGTGATAAATTCAGTTGTATCTGACTCTGCAAAGAATGAACCAATGCTTTGGATATTCATATCCTAATAAACTTTATAGTTCAAATGGAAAAAAAACCTGTTGATAGCTATACTGCTTGTGTCATGTTTTGTGTACGTCTTTATGATGTGGTAAAACAACCCCAAAATATATTTGCTTATTAATTAAAATTAATGGTCACAAGTGAACATTAGAAAATTAAAAAGTATTAAATACAACACTGCTAATATATGAGTTTTAGTAAGCATAGGGATTTTTTCATACATTTAGAAATATACAAAGAGGTAATATATCAATGTCTTTGTTAACAATTAAATATTACTTTAAATTTGTATTTTGATTTACTTTTACTTTATTTATCAGAGAAAGCAACCAGTGAGATGAACACTGCAGAGGACTGGGGCCTCATCTTAGACATCTGTGATAAAGTTGGACAGTCACGCACAGGGTAAGTAAATCAGGAATTTCCTCCCCAAATGTTTTTAATTCTGTTACTTCAGTCTCATACCCAGGTGAGAGGAGTGAATTTTGTGTTATCTTTTACAAACTTCTACAAAAGCTGAATTTAACTTGATTACAAGTGAAAGGAAAATGTATGGGGTTTCTGCTGAAATATTTTGCAATCCTTACTTTGGAGATACTGGCTGATGTGTTAAAATTAGGACTTGTGTACAGCAGCTTTTCACCAGTGTAGCAGATAAAATGAATGGCTATGTTTTAGCAGTATCACTGTAAACCCAGGAAGCTTCATGAGGCATTTTTCTTACAGAATCGTAATCTAAGTTGGAAGTGACCTCCAGAGGACATCTAGTCCAACCCCCCTAGCTTCAAACAGGTCTAATTAGATCAGGTTGCTCAGGACCGTGTGGAGTCTTGAATGCCTCCAAGGTCAAAGGTTATGCAACTTCAGTGGGCAGCATGTTTCAGTATTTAACTAGTTCTACTTACTAAGTAAGGAAATAATAAAAAAATTTTGCAATCTGTTTGCAATTTTTACTGTTTTGTCTTGTCTGTTGCATCTTGTCCTGTGACTGTGCAGCTCGAAGAAAGAATCTGGCTGCATCTTCTGTGTATACTCTGATTAATTGCTTGTTGAAAGCAGTAAGCCCCACTTTTTGGCTGCTCTTCTCAAAGTTGAAAGCACCTCTCTCATCTTTTCCTTGTATGTAACCCTCCCTGACTGTCCTGGCAGCTATCTATTGGACTTAGGGCTGTGTGTAAATAGCCTTCTTGCATTGGGGAGCACCAAAGTGGACAAAATGCTCCAAATGCAATTTTACAAGTGCAGAATGGAGGGAAAGGGTCACCTTCCTGATCTTGTTGGTTGTGCTGACCTGTAGTTCAAGCCAGGATGTGGTTGGTTGTCTTAGCTGCCAGGCTGCACTGCTGACACCTCTCACCCAATAGGACCTGCAGATAATTTCCTGCTTTTCATGTGGTCAGCTCCTGGCTTCATTTAAAATGCAATAGCTTATCCTTGTTCTTATTGAACTTCCAGTGTGCCCATTTCTCCAGCCTGTCCAGGTCCCTCTGAACATTAGCCACGGCCTCAGTGTACTGATATGTTCCCCAGGTTCCCCTTACTGGCCCCTTGCTCTGGTCAGTAAGTTACTGAGAGCACTGTTGATCCCAGCAGAAATCCCTGAAGGATACTGCCTGCTAGCTGGAATTTGCACTGCAGGTGACAGCTCTTTGAGCCTAGGAGACCAAAGGTGAGTTTTCCACTCACCTTTATCCAGCCCATATTTCACTTGCTATGTGATAAGGACACTACAAGGGCTTCAGCTGTATGTCAAATATTTGCTAACACCAAGGTATAAAGCATCTGCTGCCCTCCATTGTTCTCACCATCGGACCACCAGTGTCTTTGTCACAGAAAACAACAAGACTTTGTGTTTCTTCTCCTTGTTTTCAGAAGCTATTCTCTGTCAGCAGGGCTTTGGAAAACGTACGCTTTGGAGATGTGATACTAAATAAAACACATCTTAATATGGGCTGCTAATGTTTCATGTTTGATTATTTACTGAGCTCTCTTATAGAATTCATGCATGAACTTACTTTTTGGACAAGAAAAGATAAAGTATGAGGTATAAAAGTATAATAACTAGCAACTAAAAATACAGTTTAAGGACATAATTTCAGAGTATTTATAATGTTTTCAGTCACTTTAGTGTTAGGACTGGGAAATGTTTTAAATACACCTTTTTGAAGCATTTCTTGTAAGAATTTAGGAATGGAACAATCTCAAGAAGAAAGTTTTGCCACTGATGCTGTGGAAGGCTTCTCTGAGAATGACTTGGATTGCCTTGTAGAACTGCTAGAAACAGTATGAGATGCCAGACAACAAAGTCCCACCTGGGACTTTTGTTCCTAAGGACAGGTTTGCAAATAATCTTATTCCTTGGGATTAGAGATGGTCTCTGGAGGAGTATATAAAAATAGCACAGCATATTGAGGTTTCTGTGCTGTTGTGTAAAACTATAGTGAAGATAGCAGCTGGCAAGTTGTTAATAATGTTTCATATTAGTCTTTATATGTAAAACTGCATTTCTATTCCTTGAGCACGTTGATGCCAAGCTTGTAACAGTAACTATATTATTGAATGTTTCAGTATTCTATTTACTCACTGAAAACCTTTCCACAGATGAAATTTAGTCTCACAGCAACAGTGAGACTATCCTGAACAGTGCTGAAATGTGTGTAGCTGCAAGAGACAGCAGTACAGATAAAGCTAGAGATCTGGTAATATGGAGATAAGTTCCTGTTAGGATTTCTGAGGTTTGTTTGTGTTGGTTTTAGTCTTTTTCTTTTATGTATTTGTATTTTAATCTTTTTCCTAATAAAATACTTTTATATAAAAGAAAAGTGGGACTTAAACCTTTGTAGTATTTATCCTGCTTGTGATAGGCTGCCAACTGACTTGTTGCTTAAATTCAGATTCTGTTAAAACCAGCTGAGAGTGGGTTTTCTTTGTTTTTAATGGATTATGTTGTGCAGTAGCAAGGTAAAGCAAGACAATGTTTCCCATTAAGAAGTTTAAATGAGATATGCTTAGCTGTTTGAAATTCTCCTGCAGTTTAAGGTCCTCTGACAAGGATGCAAGTCTTCTTAGCTGGGATTGGATTTAATTTTTTAACCAATTCTGCTCCAGTACAGGCTGTTTATTACTGTTCTTGGAAGAAGTTTAGATTACAAAAATCTCTCCTTTGTGAATTTTCTTTGTACTAGTCTACAAGCTCCATTGCATCCTGCAGCATTCTAGATGTAGATTGCCTTACACCTGAAGCAGCCTAGAAAAACACTTATTCATTAAGTAACCCTTCTGGTATAGCACATTGTCTGCAAACTTGTTGGTATCCAGATTAATTGTTGGAAACCTGTTATGCTACAAAGGTATTGCATTTTCTCATAAGATAAATTAGTTACAGTTCCATAGCATAATTGCTGCTGTTATTTTTTATGTTGTAATACTCTCGGTACCGAGAATTGCAAATTGCTGAAAATGTTGTCTTGCTTCCTTTAATCCAAACAACTAAACCATATTTTTAGCAAGTTAAAATCCCTCTCTTTGACTGCTTTCTCTGTTTTTTTGTGAATTTCCAAATCAGAGCTGCTATTAGAATTTTTATAGAAAACACAGGAAAGACAGAAAATGTGTCAATATTTTAAACAATATGACTTGTTTACAATAGCTTTTATGAAATACTACTCCATGTAGTACAGAATTAACATATTCTGCATGCTTCACATATCAGGTTCTTAGACAATCTAAAATTTGTCTAATGATGAGACAACACTTTTTTAAATCTCTGAATTTCCATTAGGGGCTCATACAGTTGCACATCACATTGTTTGCATCCTGGTTTTTGCCAATATTAACTCAATGAGCAAGTTGCCTTTTCAGCATAGAAACATGATTAAAACAAAGGTTTTACTGTTAGAGGCAATCCTTTCTGCCTCCTGGTTTTGTATGGCATTCTTCAAAACTTATTTATTTTAACAGTTTTAAAAATTTTAATCACATGGAATGATTCTTGAGGCTGTCCTTTGCAGGGCCAGGAGTTGGACTTCAATGATCTTTAGGGGTCTCTTCCATCTCAGGATGTTCTATGATTTTATATTTGACTGGCATTTTAAATCTGATTACAGGAAAGGTATTGATTTTTGCATAGTGTTGCTTTTCTACATTGAAAATGCTTACAAAACTGAATCTAAAGTTTATCATCTCAGAATAAAATAACAATATGAAATTTGGATGGTTCTTTAAACAGAATAAAAGGAAAAATTAATGGACAGGTATGGTATATTTTAGCAAAGATGCCCCCCCCTTCTTCAGTAATTTCAGTGCTAGCCAGTTCCTAACTCAAATCAGTTTTGCATTTGGCTTTGAGACACTTGTACTGTTTATTTCATTAGACATATCAGTCTACACTGAAACTTTCACAACTTCAGTTTTTTCAAGAAAGGTTACTTAATAAAAAAAAAAAAGATGGCTGAAAAAAATGGAGTCAGTGGCTGAGAGGCTGCACCAAGTGTTGAGAAAATAGAAATGTTCATTGCAGTGCTCTCTGTTGGGGGTGAGTATTGGCAAATTGTCATTGAGGAATGGTTTGTCCATACTGCTGCTTGCCTAACTTTGTCTTGATTCCTTAAGGATTAATCACTGCCTCAACAAGTCAGTGTTCTGGTTAGCTGTTTCTTCTTTGGGTTTTTTTGTGCTTGGTCATGCAAGAGAGAGCAGCAAACTTGCTTACTTGATAGTATTCCAATGTGTCTTCCATTTTTCCCCCTCACATTACACAATCTCAGTAGCATTTGCATTGTAATTGCAGTGTATGTCTCACAGGCTGACCGGGAAGCTTAATGACCAGCCTGTTGCTGAAGGAGCTAGGAGGAAAGCTGAATCCCACAGAGTTACCTTAGACTGTAAATGAACAATAAATTCCTGAACATATCTGAAATGTTTTGTGCAGAGTAGTATTTTATATTGCAAATGCTGCTAATTGTGTCCTTTTTAATAAAATATAATCAGATTTTTTTTCTACTTTCTAAAACTAAACCTGAAATTCATTATTTTCTATATGAATTGGTTTATGATACCATATGATGCCACATATGATACATAGCTTCTATTATATCTTGCCATATTTTCACCCTACTTATTTGTTATTACTACTCATTGTGGTGCCTCTGAAATTATCATCATTGGAGTGGAGCTGTGGCCAAATATTTGTATAGTACAATTTGGAGACATGCCTAATAAGTAGACAGAATTCTACACTCATAGAATGCATGCTTCCCTCTGGTTTCTGCATAGTGCTTCTCATAATTTATGCACTAAATTGTATGATGAATTAATTAGAAGTAAAAATAAGAATTACAGGCCTGTCTAGAATAGGTCTTCTTACTCTGTGTGACTAAAGATTGGTACACCTGGATTATTTTCCTATCTACATGTAATCAAAATTTTTCTTACTTTAAACATTTGGGTATTGAAAAGCATTTAACACTCAAGCATTGATAATTTCTTTTAAATATATAAACAAATAGATTGTACTTGAGACATGTAGGTTATCATTTGGCTTTGAGGCTTTCTTATTACTTTTAATAAGACTTTGGATTCCTTTGTAAAAAACGTCATAGGCTAATGATCCTGTTCCTGAACTCCTAAGCTCTTGATCCTGCACCTTGCCTTTATAAATACTGGCTTCACAATGGGCAAGCACCTTTTTTGAGCTTGCAATCATATCACATTGTTAATCCTACTCATAAACTAATGGTTACAGAAAGCAGCTATTTCTAACAATTTTAGCTTGTATTCTTTCTCAACTAAAGTGAACATATGAGAAGTCTTGAATAATTAACAGATAAAAGGTAGTACTTGCCTTAAAGCCTTCATCTGTAATAACTGGTATATGAAGGTATACACTGAATGATATGTACTTGTGCTGTGTGACAGCACTTTCTATAATTAGTGCCACTAAATATGAGGTGGACATTTCTGTAAAATGTAGACACTGCCAAATATAGTATAGCCAAGCAGTGGTGTAACTTATACCTGAGTTTCATGTTAGTTTTTGGATATCAGTTCAACAGAAAAATACTTTTGCTTCCAAAGACAACCATGCTATAAATGTGTAAACTCCATAAGTGTGTAAAATCTCTTAGTGTAGATTTAACTTCTCCTTTCCTCCTTCTCTACTTACCCTCTTCCAGGGTTATCTTTCCAGGGCTATTTAACACATAATGATTGTATGCCCTTGAAAATCCCTACCTCAGCCTGGCTTAGCTTTCCACTACTTTATAGATGGAACAAAGTATTAGAAAGTCACATAGATTTTAATATGCTAAACTTTCTGAAGTTCCCTTTCAAATTCTTTGTTGAAGTTGCTTTTCATGTTATTTCTATCTACCACAACATAAGACTTGAATTCTGTATTTAATTTCTTTGAAACTTTGATGTAGATTGTCTAAGAGGTTTTTTTTGAGAAGTTATTTGTTCATTACATAGCTTCTTTATAAATGCTTTTCTGTAGATTAAAAGAGACTCTGAGGAATGTGGTGGTAATTCAAAATAAAAGGGTGTTGGTAAACCGGTCCGTAAGGAAATGTTCTTACATACATATGTGAAATATAGAGGAGTAGGTGCATGGACTACAGAGAATTCCAGTTCCCTAATTGTAAGGGATTTTATGCATTTCTGGAGTATTTACAGTAATTCGCTCTAAGTACAAGAAGTGATATAAATTACTGAAAGGTTTTGATAATTAAGAGAGATACAAATCCTACAGATAGAAATGGCTACAACAGTTTATGCTGTTTAATTTATTTTTAAATGTTGTTGTTTTAAATTATAAGCTACTAAATAATTTACTCACGGTGTTCAGGAGCTCTTGCTATCTGTCAACGTTGTCAGCATGGTCACGTGTGCAGAAGGAAATGTTCATTCCATTCCATATTTTTAAAGCTGGATTGTGTTTTTCAGGCCTAAGGACTGCCTCCGCTCTATAATGAAGAGAGTGAACCATAAAGATCCGCACGTCGCTATGCAAGCATTAACAGTAGGTTCTTCTTAATGTAGTTCATTTTCTTCCTGAAAAGTTATATTGCAAAAAAATATCTAAGTTTTAATCTTTCTTTCATTAGCTTCTAGGAGCATGTGTATCAAACTGTGGCAAAATCTTTCATTTAGAAGTCTGTTCAAGAGATTTTGCCAGTGAAGTAAGCAATGTGTTGAATAAGGTAATGTATTGCATTGACTTTTATGTTTACTTGTAAGTAAAATTAGGTAGAGAATTGGGATAATCTGAAAGTGGAATGGAATCTACTTTTAGAGGACTGGAAACAGGGGGGAGGGGAAGGAGAGAAGATTACTGTAAAGACTGTGGCTCTCAGAACTTCCTGAATGCCACTTCATACTAGGTAACATGGGTATTCTGTCTGGGGGAGGTATGGCGTGTTAATTTATAAATAAATTACTGTATTTTCACTTTAAATTACATCAGTAAAACATTAAATACAAATATGATGAAACGAAGATAGAACAGAGGGTTCTATGTAATCTTATTTTACTTTATTTTGGGCCTAGCACATACTGTACTGGCACAAACACAATGCTGATGTATAATTCTCCCTTTCTAATAAAGACTGAGTGCTAAATTTGACTACAAATTAAGGTATCTATATGTTTTATATTGACAGTAACATGCAATTACTTGAAATTAAGATCAGATTCTTACATCATTTAACTAGTTTGTACTCTCCATCAGGGTCATCCAAAAGTTTGTGAAAAGCTGAAAGCCCTTATGGTGGAATGGACTGATGAATTCAAGAATGACCCACAGCTTAGTTTAATATCTGCCATGATAAAAAATCTTAAGGAGCAAGGAGTTACTTTCCCAGCTATTGGCTCACAGGTATATTAGATTTTTGTGGTTGTTCTCAAAATGTGTCACAAATTCTTTTTATCCTTAGCTCTGCATTTTACAGTTTGTAGTCTTGAATTCTAGAATGTTTGGCAAACAAAATGAAAGCTACCTTGTCTTAATAAAACTTTTCTTTGAGGAGTGAAATGCTCTAAATTATTTTAGATTTTTATGTAGCAGATGAATACAAAACAAAATGGTGAACTTAATGCACTGTCAGTTTTATTTTGGATTAATTTTTACATCTTTTACTTTTGGCTAGGCTGCTGAACAGGCAAAAGCAAGTCCAGCTCTAGTTGCCAAAGATCCTGGTACAGTAGCCACCAAAAAGGAAGAGGAGGATTTAGCTAAAGGTGAGTGCATTTATTTGCTGACATGATGCATATTGATTTATTTAAATGAACAATAGTCAATATGTATGTGTTACTAATGGTCTCTTCAGTAGTCAACCCACCAAAGTCTACTTTTAAAGAGATCTGTGTCTCAAAAGTCTATCTGCATGAGTTTCATAATGTTTGTGTCCACACTGCCCCTTCTTAAATATGATCCATTTTTTCCTGCAAACTTGAACTGAGTTTAATGTGAGTGAAACTTTTCTGCTCAGTCAAGTTCAATTGAAAATGACCCAGAAATGTGAAATAATTCAAGGAATGATAGGGAAGAAGATAAAGGAAGGGGCAATTTTTTGCTTGTTTAAGCAAAAATAATTTTGTTAATTATGAATTTAGGAGATACTTTACTGTGAAGGTGACCAAGCCCTAGCACGGGTTATCATGGGATAACCACGATAACCTGGTTCCCAAGGATATCATGGTGTCTTTATTCTTGGAGATATTAAAAAGTTGTCATTGGCAGTCAGCTGTAGTGACCCTGGATGAACAGGGGATTGGACCAGATGACTTCCATGGGTGCCTTCCAACCTCAGCCAATCTGTAAATCTGATTCTGGGAATCCAGGCTAAGGACTTTTGTCTAACAGAGAACCAGTGTGCACTGGAACAGATGTATCTTTTTAATGTTTCAAGCAATCTGGAAAAGTTCAACATGGTGTAAGATGTAAAATAAGAATGTAAATATTTTACATTGGTTCAAGGTTGTAGCAATAATATCATACTTTGTGGAGTTATATTTGTTCTCAAATGCTATTTATTCATCTTGTCCATGTTGGAAGCCTCAGTAAATCCACAGGCAGAATTCTGCTCTCTTTGTTATTTACCATTAATTCTAAGAGAAAGACACAAAGTCATTAAAATGCAACAGAAATAGAATTAGACTAAAAGTTTTCACAGAATTAAATTTTCATATCCATCAACCCATTTTTATAGGGAATTTTCATCTGAGTAACTCTTCTTTTGTAGCTATTGAGCTGTCACTGAAAGAACAAAGGCAACAGCAGACAGCACTTTCCAGTTTGTATCCAAGCACTTCAAGCCTTTTAACAAACCACAAACATGAGGGCCGAAAGGTTCGTGCAATCTACGATTTTGAGGCTGCTGAAGATAATGAACTAACTTTTAAAGCTGGAGAACTTATAACTATACTTGATGACAGGTAAGTAATATAGAAAGCCTACTAGAATTCTGTTAAACTGTAAAAATTAATTAGAAATAATTATATCTTCTATGTAGAAGCATACCTTGAAATACAATGAATGGAAACGTATTTTTGTATTAATACTCTATTTTGTTACGTTCTTTACAAATAAATGTATTTGCATAAAAGTTCCTGTGTAAAGATTTCTGCATATATGCAAGTTATATTTATGTGCTAGTGATATAAAGCCTATACTGTGAAATTCCTAGGAAAGTTCCATGTGAGTATGGGATTTCTGATGTATAGGGTCTTTACTTATTTTTTTTTAATCTTTAGTGATCCAAATTGGTGGAAAGGAGAAACTCATCAGGGTATAGGATTGTTTCCATCTAATTTTGTAACAGCTGATCTTTCTGCTGAGCCTGAAATGAGTAAGTAACATTACATTTTTTTTATATATATATATGATATATATGTTTAACTCTGCCATGGCTTATGGGTGATTTCCTTCCCCTTATGATAGAGTTCAGTTGCAAGTGAATATGGTCATTGAAGTAAAACTGAGGAGCCCTTGCTATGCTATCACAAACAACAGTCAGACCAAGGCTGCCCAAACTGTCTTCTGCTGAAAAATGCTGCTGTCTGCTGCTGCTTTGTCAGCAGCTTCTTTGAGACTCATGAAATCACTCCATTGACACCTAAATAAACGTGGGCAACAGCAGCTTTTTTTCCAAATGGCCTTTTTGTCCAGTTGCAATGGTGCATGTCTAATTGAGATGGAACTGAAGGCCCCATGGCAGATAGGAGTTGGAGACAGATTACCAGTGTTCAAATAGTTCAAGAAACCTACCTACTCTAGGTATGTACCTGTGCATAGTGGACAGAGGGATTCTCTGCATGCAGCTTATTTATATCCATCCAATCTACTTTAAATATTTAATAAAAATAGTAAATATGAGATAAGACTTCAAGATTCTAGAGCTGATTTCTGTAAATCTCATGGGTTTGCAAGATTAATCTTCTGTGCTCTCAATTTGAGGGTGCTAAAGGATGAGCAGGTCAGCAGAATTACATGCTGTACCAGTCATTTGTGCTATGCTAAGACTATCTAATAAGAGTAATATTTAGCTTTTTTGCTAAATATAGAGCTTTTTTGTGCTAGTCTCCACTACAGAGGAGTGAGATGCTTTGCATACAGGATTTGGTGAAGAAGGAGTAGAGAATCTTGAGACCTTTCAATTGTGGACTTGGCTTTGGAGAAAAGAAGGCTCAGTTTGTTATAGATGATTTTATCAGTTTAATCTTAAACTTGACTTGGTAGCCCTGTTGTTTCCAGTCAGTCTTTGAGTCTTTTATCCAGATGACCTTTTAATATATGTTATGTATAGGGAGACTATGATAAAGCCATTTACTTGCTAAAACACGTTTCTGCTGAGCTTGTGTAAACTGATCTATTTTTTTAAATAATGTGATTTACAGATAAGAAAATTATTTAGGTCTGTGGCTTTTAAATGTCAATAAAATACTAATTTTTAAAATTTTCACAGTAGACATTTCAAATGCAAGGAACCTATAACCTATACTAGTTGTAGAATATTTATGTCATTGTTTATTTTTTCTTTTGTAAAATTAAGTCTGGCTGTTTATCTTACAGTGAAAGCGGAGAAGAAAACAGTGCAGTTCAGTGATGAAGTTCAAGTAGAGACAATAGAACCTGAGCCAGAACCAGTTTATATTGATGAAGTAAGAATGGCAAAAATCCTGATTGGTATAAAATGCGCTGCTGGGACATTTAAATATGTGATGTTTAACCCTTTCATCTCATACTTCAAAAATATGATAAAAAGAGCATGGAAAGAGAGTTTTCATTAAAGTAATAAATAAATCTTCAGTATTCCCTTTTGTTTAAGAGTCTTGAAGTTTTTAGGAATTTCTGAAAATGAATTTGGAACTGCATTCCATTTAGTGCCCTACTTGAGGGTTATACATCTGTTTACCTCCAAGCTAGAATCTTAGTGCTGGGTGGTACATCTACTTTCAAATTTTGCTTAAAGTACTTCAGGATACCATAGAGATACCCATCTTGACAGCTCACTTAGATTTATTTCCAGTGTAACCACCACTGGCTACCCTCAGACTGAAAGATCTCTTTCTGTCCCTGAAAAGTCTAAAATTCTGTTCCTGTGTAAGTAATATTTAGTAAGATATTTACAATCTCACCTTGGTGATCCTGTAAGGTTTCCAGGAACATTCAGTCCAGGAAATTCCCCCCCCCCCCCTTTTTTTTTTTTCACCTCAACCTGGGTTCTGTCATTGTTTTTTTGAAATGAGAAGTCAGTTACTGCCTTCCTGAAGTCCTATTTAAATTCCACCTCAAAAACTCTTCTTCCCAGGAGATACTAGTTTGTAACCTGCTGAAATAGATTATCTGAGGCCTGCCTTGAGCTTTCAGCCTTCCAGCTTTTGTTTTCTGTGAGTCCATTGTTGAGTTTTTAGTGTCTTCTTTTGTTTTTGAATTGGCCACAGTATAATTTTTAAGGAAGTAGTTAATTTGACTTTTCCCAAACTTTCCATGGTTTAAGGAGGACAAAGCATGGTTTTCCTTTATACAACCTATATAACACAAAGTGAAAAAGGCTATTTATTTGATAGTGCTCAGCTAATAAATGATTTAAAAAATTTACATGTTATGTTTTTGGTACTTTAACCAATACAGTTCAGTCCAAGACATATTTTTCAAAGACTTTATGCCTGTTTGTTTTCTAACCTTTGATGTTTTTATTACAAAATGGTTGCACTTAAACTCTTTAGTTAAGCTTAACTTATTCTGAAGTAAATCCTGAGATGCCTCCAAACATCATCTTAAAACAACACTTCGTTACATTGGTAATGACAAGGCTCATATGCTGAATAGGCCTCATGCACTTAAAATTTCTTTTCAGTGAATTTAAAGTACTTTCTCAATGTATTCTGTCAAAACATTCCCACCAATCCCACTAGGTGGTGGTATTGCATATGTAATATCTAGGCTGGAAAAATAGGAACTGCTCAGAAGATAATATATGTTTAAAAGGACTTCTAGGAATAAAGGAGTATTCTGCACATTCCACTTGTTACCACTATTTTTTCTCATTTAGCGTTTTCTTGTTCAAGCATCTTCATTCCTGTAAAGTAGCATGTATAATTTGCAATTTCTTAAAGTTAGTCTAGTTGATTCTGAAGTGCCAAGAGATCAAAATGGCTGTTGTGAACAGATGCTTTAATTTACTATCCTGAAAGTGCTAATTCCCTTGCTGCCACATTTGCCCTAATAATACAATTTGTGTTGCAGGATAAAATGGACCAACTCTTGCAGATGTTGCAAAGTGCTGATCCGTCTGATGAGCAGCCAGACCTCCCAGAACTGCTTCATCTTGAGGGTAACAAAAACGAATGAATTTTTTCATTGTTTTTTTCCTCACTGGTAATTTTCTGTATCAATGCAGATTGAAACTAAGCTGAAACTACTTCAGTTTCGCCTGCATGCGAGAAGCATGCCTAAGAAAAGTGCCTGAGCCATAATTATCTTCTCACTTCTTGTTTCCCACATCCACGAGACCAAAGTCAAAAATATTAACTTAAAACAAATCTACTTTTCTCTACTGTTTCCTAAATTATTTTCCCTTTTCAAGACACATAAATACTTGATCATATTCATTCATAATTTTTTTCCTTCACAGGGTAGCACAGCATGAGTGGCAAAAGGAGTGTCAGGAAGATTCCATGAGAGGAAGCAGAAATCCTAGAGAGATTTAGAATAGACCCGTGGGTGTCCCACATGCTTTTCACTTGCATGTGTATTTCTGGAGGAGTTGCATATTAACAAATAACTCATAGAGTGCTACAAATTTTCCTACTCTTTGAGTCATTGTTTAGACTATGTCTTCACAGAGACATTATAGATCGTTTTACCTAGGCTGATACGTGCACCAAAAATTTTAAAATAAAATTTGGAAAAGGAAGAAAAGAAACTTCCCAATTACGATACAGAACATAGGCTTAAAGTAACAATTCAGATGACACCAGACTTTGTCTGGTGAAAATGGCAGTTTCTACATCTATCTAGAAGTTAATAATTAGGTTTGTAAACTTTTAGGTATCTCCCATCTTTCCACACCCATCTGGTTCATCATGTCTGTAAATGAATGCTGTTTCAGAAACTCACATCAGCAGCACGTCTACACATATTCTAGTTCCACTGAAACTAAAGAGAGGTAAAAAGAAACGTGACTGGTTTTATTCTTACAAGTCCCAAACATAGCTATAGAGGCTGTTGTCTAAGAAGCAGATTGCCTGTATCTGATCCAGGACAGAGGCAGAGAAATTAAAGGTATGCTTGTCAACCAGCCTAGAGATATGGCTTACCTTAGGAGTTGCTTCAAAATGCATTGTGAGATCATTAAAGCAATGCTGAATTTTGTATTGAACCATGGGACTGCTCCTGGAATCTGAAGGCAGTAGTGTGGTCAGATGATTACTCCCCAGCTACCTGCAACAGCACATGTCAGACTTAGGGCTACATATAGTTCTACAATGCTAATTCAAGATTACTTGCTCTACACTTAAGTAGGCTTTGGTGAGCTACTGGTTTTGGCATAGGTTCTGAAAATTTTGCTGTAGATGTGTTTTGAGTTCTTGGTTCCTACCAGTGGTGGCAGATGCTGATTAAAGACATTTGTGGCTGGACATGTGGATGGCAGAAGAAAATGAAGTGGTTTTGTATCAAATGTTGATCAGCATCTGCCACCACTGGTAGGAACCAAGGATTCAAAACATATCTATAGCAAAAATTTGACAGAAAAATCACTTAATTTCCTTCTGCCGTCCACATGTCCAGTCACAATTGTCTTTGAACTGGAAAGCTCATTCTAATGTGTTCAGGTACCCAGAGTTTGTAGTTGGCAGCAGAGCAGTCATCATGTTAACAGACATCTAAGCAATTCTTGTGATGCCTTTTGTCACACTGTGTGCTATACATAAAAGCAGGCAGAACTTTGACAGCTTTTATATCTTTGCCCGACATTTCTGCCAATGTATTTCTGATCCCAGGTTCAAAGAAGCAGATGGGTACCTCTCATGCAACTCCTCTTTCACCTGGAGTTGCCTTCAAGGAACTCAGCAATGATGTCCTTGCACTTGTCATGGCTCAGATGTTTTCAGGACCTTCTGCATTTCTAATATCCTGAATTTTCCTTTCAGCTTCTGTGTCTGTTTATTTGACATTTGACGAACTCTGCCTTTCTGCTAATTAGCCATGGTTTGCTTGGCAGGTAGATGAGCCCCATGTCCTTGTGCTGAAAGGAGGCATGGGGTGTGCATTTTTGTTTATTTTAATGCTTTTTAATTCTGATTCTGGTAAGATTTATGTTGTTTTTTGCACATGTCACTGGTTTGAAAGAGCCCCTTCCCCTAGTTAGAATTCTAGTGAGACTAATGGGCTATTAGTGTCTTTGATGTGCAGATAATTGAATCACTGCAACCAGTTTTCTCCTTCATTGTTTTCATAGTCTTCTTGTAGCAAAATTGGATGAGCACACGATCTAGGTTCCAGTGCCAAATCTTCTTCCTTTAAGAAGAGATTTCAATTCATGTGGACCTTTTGTGCAAAATAGTTTCAGCTTTATACTTCCTGGATATTAAATGTGTTTTGTTTCATTTTATTTTTATTTTAAAATATATTTTTAAAATTGTACCAATACTGAAAACTTTAGCTGGGTCTCATTCTTGAATTGTTCATGATGCTACCTCTGTTATTAAAAATTTTTTGACATACAGATAATGAACTAAAAACAAAATTGGACTTGCATCTATTTCTATTTAATTTTTTATTGCTTTCTGACTTTGCAGTATGGAAACGTTTATTACTCTGATATATTTTAATGTGTTTCTATTCTAGCAATGTGCCACCAGATGGGACCTCTCATAGATGAAAAATTGGAGGATATAGACAGGTAAAAAGAAATGTCGTGTGCTTTGACCGAAATTAAAATTTATTCTTAGAAACCAGAATTATTACTTGATAATATTGTAATTTCTATGAATACTGGCAAAGAAAATATGTGTATTTATTAGTAGTTTCTCTGAGAAGAGGTCTGAAGATTTTTTTCCCATAGTCACATAGCAATTTATAGTGTTATACCATTTGACTTTCTGTCACTTGCCAAGCATCAGTTCACACAAAAAAAAGTTACTTAATGAAATTACTCTATGTTGTCTGTCCTATAATAAAGTTATCTAAATTGTAAAGGGAACTGTATTATAACTGCAATATATATTTTCTAGGAAACATTCAGAACTGTCAGAGCTCAATGTGAAAGCGATGGAGGCTCTTTCTTTATATAACAAATTGATGAATGAGGACCCAATGTATTCCATGTATGCAAAACTACAAAACCAGCAGTATTACATGCAGTCATCTGGTGTTTCTGGCTCTCAGGTATGGATGTAGCCTTTAATAGCCATTGACCTTATCAAGTTCACACTGACTGAGCAGTGTTTTCTCTTAGTTTTATTGCACAGTATGTAAAAAAATAAAAATAAAAGTGTTCGTGTTCAGCTACAAGCTGTGTATGCTCTTCTTTTGTGGGTTCTAATGCATTTAGTGTTTTTCTGTTCAGTTCCTTTTGATCAAGGAAAAAGCCCATCCTGGGCTTTAAGGTGCATAAAATTAAAAAATAAAACTGCCAGGGCTTTGCATATTGGGTTAAAGAAAATAAGCAGCCAAAGGAGTACAATTTCTCCCTATCTTCTCAGAGATAATTCAATATGAAAATGATGCTATGAAAGAATTACCATTTTTAACTTCAGTAATTTAAATGCTAAATACTCTTCACTGATATTTAAAAAAAAAAAGGAAATGAAAATATTTGGGAAGTCTTTAAGTTCTAAAGTCAGATACTAAATAGCAAATTTTCTTGTATTTTATTTCTAATACTGCTTTATTTAACTTCCTAGGTTTATCCAGGGCAAACTCAAGGTAATGCGTATTTGGTGGCAGGGAGTGCACAGATGGGCCCCATTCAAGGTTACAATCTTCCTCCAGAGCAGCTCCCTTCTCTCAGCCAAGGCACAGTTACTCCATCTGCCAGCTCAGTAATTCCTGGTCAGCCTGCACAGACGTCTTACACAAAGTAATTTTAAATATTTTTCTATTCAAGTTTAAATAAATTTAAACAGAAACTCTTTTTTGAAATTACAGGAGTATAAAAACCACAACTGAATGATACTTTAGTGCAATCATATCCAGAGTGCTTTTTATTGGTGTCATGTATTTGGTAAAAATTCCTTTTTTACCTTATTCCTTAAGTTTTTTTTTTACCTTTATTCCTTAAGTTTTTTATGTTTTTTAAAAATTTATATAGTTTAAATTTTCTGTATACAAAATATGTAATTTATATAGCTCTATGTTTTTTTATATAAAACAGAGAAAATTATACAGACATTAATTAGTAGAATTAGTAGTAACTTTTAGTATAGTTTTAATGATGAAGATTATATGCTGCTCTGGCTGGCTCTGCATAATTTCTGAGTGCAAATTCTACTGCTCATTTGTCAAATATCTTACTACAGAAGAATGGGGAGAATTCTGCTCATATTGGGAAAGAAGTGAATGGGCAATGAATACTGACTAAAGCTTATACAGCTTGCCCAAATAAGGAAACTAAAATAGACATTTTACATTGGCTGGATGGCCAAAGATGCAAAGTTTTGGTTCAGTTACCTATATTGTGGAAAGATTTGTGGGTTTTTGCTAATTGGTTTTTGTTAGTTTGGGTTTTCTGGTTTTGTTTACTCTCTATGGAGAGTAATTTTATTGTAAAAAGTTGGGAGACACATCAATATGAGTTATTAAAGTATTTGTTAGTCTTTGTCCCCAGAGGTACTTATTTGGGATAGCAAAGCATACAATGATGAAGTGAGTTTCTGCATATTCATCTGACTTGTTTTGCTATTTAAAACAATTTGTTGGGTTTTGGTTTTTTTCATGAACAGAATGGAAGATAGATGGTATTCCATTTGCACCTTGAAATAAATCAGAAGTACAGACATGGTCTAATTTTAAATCCATAGGGAGTGTCTACTGTATGTTTAAATCTGAGGAGTGTGTTTGAGTTTTAATGGGAATACTCATTGGCTACAGTTTTAAATACGCAACATGTCCAGAGTTAGAAGATTTTTGTGTGTATAAATAAAACAACTGAAGAAGCAATAAAGTTTTGCTGTTCTGTTGGTAAATGGTTTGTTAATTCTACTTTAAATATGTTTTCTCTCATTTTTGTTGTTGTTTTTTTTTCAGTGCAATGGTTGGTTCTGTTGCTGGAAGTACCTTCTCTAACCAGCCTTCAGTGTATAGTCCACCACCTGGTACTGTTGATGTTGCTGCTTATCAGAATGCTGGAACTAATATGTCCCAGGTGCCAAACTATAACTTAGCATCTACAGCTCTGCCACAGACAGCAGGCAGTCAGCAAGCACCTCCACAACAACCACAGCCTCCACCACCTCAACAAGCACAGCACAGTTACTCACAGAAGGCTCTGCTATAGGATCCAGGACTTGTGATTCCTAATCTTCTTTAACCTCTGCTAAAGGCGGTTGGCGATTCTATGAGTTCCTTCATTTAATCTCTTAAACTTTGTTTATCCTCAGCTTAATAAGAATCTCTCTTGGTGAACAAGTTCAATTTGCACTGACTTTTTAGGATTTTTTTTTTAATTTTGCGGAAGAACTGATATATTTAGGAAATTTAATTCCTTTTAAAATGCCTAAAATTGGTACAAGATTATTTATGTTTGGTTAAATTGGCTAGTTTGTGAAAACTCAACCATTGCAAACTGTTGTGGCATATATGTTATGTACATATAGTGTGTGATTGCAGTAGTGCCCATTTCGTATAACTATGGTGGTCATGTGAATATATTTAACACAATGTTTAAAAATAATTTGCTTTACTATTTTATTTTAATCATGAACTGACAACCATATTTCATAGTTTTGTCTAGTTTTAAGACAGATGCAATGTCTTTTTCCAGTGCAGGAAAAACAGTAATTCTGCATATCATGGTTACAATTACAAGCTAAGGTCTATATATGAATTTATAAACTTATCTAAGTTTCACTACTTCTTAAATTGAACACAAGTGTATCATGACTATTAGATAGCTTATCTACCAAAGTAAACTTGTTAACTAGTAAATAATCTGGGGGGATAACAGCAAATTATGATTCTGCTTCGGACATAATTACTAACTTAAAACTGCTATTCAGAGGCTGCTAAACATGTCATGGGACCATGAAACAGAACAGCATTTTATCATGAGAAGCATGTAATTTATTTTTCCAAGTTGTTTTTTTAAAATGAGAACCAGAACTGTATTCTATGTGTGTCGGTAGAGATTACACCAAAGAAAGACAGAGGAATTTATTTGAAAGAGAAACAATGGAGTTTTAAACTGGAACACACAACGTGAATTACACTATTTTATTCAAGTCTTCTTAATTAGAACATGGAGAATTATGGACATGTAAATCACTTTGCTGAACAAACCTTCAGGGCTTCATTATATCTCTTGTGGCCTTGCTTAACAATTTGTTCTGTTTACTGTTCTAACACAAACACTTCTGCCTTAAATGTCTGTTTCAATTTCCAGTTGTACCATTTGAGTTTATTAACCCTTCTATAATTTGAATAGTTCATGAGGCATCTCATCTAAATCCACTTTTAGGTTACTTTAAATTCTCTTCTGCAGCAACATGTGTTAGCCTGTTTTAAATCCTCGTGTTCCTCAGTAACTTAGCCACATGGCTTTGCAAAGCATGATATTTTCTTTCTGTGGATGAGGTGCTGCAAAAGAAATGTAATGGAAGGCAGCATTTCAGGTGTGCTTGAGCAGAGTTTCTTGTATAAAGACTGTTGTTACTTTGTGTTTGTATTCCATCTTGTAATGCATCCTTTTTCATCTTTTCCAGCAGCTCTAATTTCCACTAATTTCAACACCAGATCTGGTTTTAGTCCTGTGTGTATGTCAGAAGTTGTTTGTTATGTGTACTATATTTTAGTGTGATGCTTCTGGAATTAAATGTTGCAATTGTACATTGTACTATAAAATGAGCTCTGTTATCCTATTTACTCCTGCATCTATTCACAGTTATCTAACATGCCTTTGTTTCACTATTTTAATTGACATCAGTGTTTTGCCAGATACTTTCCGATGACTGCTTTGCATAACTTCTGATTAGGGTGGTTACAAAACGTGCCCATGGTTGATCTATTCCAGTTGGAGATGTTCTAGCCAGCTGCTTGATCTAATGCTAGAATTTTCACATGTTTGTTTTCTCTAAAATTTTTAACCATCCTTGCAAACTGTCATTAATTATTTCAGTACTTGATGTCGTCACAAAAGGCTGTGAAATTTGAAAGGAAATACTAAAGAAAAAAGTAATAACCTGACATACTGTGTCATGGATGACTTTTTATGGATTGAAGAAGTGATGTCTTTAGAAAGAACTTTTAGTATAATTTAGATAGTGTTCTCTGTGTGCATTAGGTATCTTGTTCCAAAATCAGATAGTCAATGTATAGAAATGTATAATTTATACACAAAAGTGAAAATAATGTTTTTATTCCATTGTTCTTAGTCCCTGATTCAAGGAGAAGCTTGAAGCATCAAGATAGTCTTTTTGATATTAACAATTGTATTCTTAGGTTTTCATATGTTGTGTCACATGTTCCCTAATAAGGGTATGCAGAACTTCCATACAGAAATGACCCAGAAAAAATACATTTTTTTTAGTAATTTGTCATTGTTTTTAAAACTTTTGAAGTTTTTCCTTGATTTACAGAAATGCTGGATCCTGGTTTCTCATTTGAACATTGAACCATTATGTGCATCACAGTTTTTCTGCTCTCCAATTTGCTTATTTTTGTCATTCATCCACTTTTATGAAAATTAAAATCACCTTTCATGCTCATAATGACAAAAAAACCCACTTGCTAAAATTCAGTGCCCCTTTAAATTCAATATAATGAAAGTTGTGAAAAAAAGATAGACATTTTCTATTTTCCTTCATACTTTAATAAAAGTCACTGCTGTAAGGTATCTCCTGTAGCAGGCTGGGAATTTTAGTTGACTTTGAATCAGAGTTCATTGTCTATAACTGGTGGAGGAGGTCACTAAAATTTTAGGTTCCAAGTCTTAGTGTTTCTGTTGCTACCTACATTTTCCATTTCACGTGCAATTTTTGGATTAAATTGAATTTGGAGCTGTATTACTTCATGTTGATTTTTTAAATCAGAAAATGTCTTTCTGCTTGGTTGTGCCCTGTATGCTTGATACTCTGAAGTGATGCCTTTTGCTTTGCTAGATGCTGTCACTGCATGAATTCCTGCAGTCATCCTCTCATATTCTCTCTTACAGCTCAGAAATGAACTTCAGTTCACCTCCTCTCTGCTGGTTTGTTATCATGAACCTGGAGATGCCATTGCTGGTGCTTCTCTGCCATGATTTATTCTCAAATTCCTTGTTCATGCATTGTTTTGTCCAGGTTCACTTCTGTTCTACCTTATTATGGTGTTGAACACTGAAATGTTAGTGAGTAGGGGAAAGCACACGTACAGCTACTGTGTGGAAAAGCTTTTTAGCAATTAAATAAAGTGTCAGAATGTAAACTGTTTGAAAGTAAGGAATCGTTGGAAATGTTATTCATGTTCCAATAGAGGACCTGATTTTTGAATGTCTTGTTTCTTTACATGTAAATTGTCAGTTTAAGGCTAAAATGTCTTCCAGACAGTTTGTATAACCCTTTTTTACTTAACCATTTCATTAAGGAATACAAAAATGCTAATTAATTTCAGAAGGGGCATTTCAGTGTCTTGGTTGGCATGAATTGGAGCAAACTCTGGAAACTGCCTTCTGTGCATTTCACTTCTATGAGCAAAATTTTTTTAGCCATGTGTATCATCTCAATTTATGTGGGCACAACAAAGGTGTCAAGATTTACTGTAAAACCTCCCAAGAAAAATACTGGGGTACTATGTTAAAATTTTCTGTATTGACATCATGGCAGTGTGTTCCAGAGTGTGCAGTCACAATATATTTGCCCAACTCTGTTTAGTAACTGGTGCTGTGTAGATGTGTCTGTAATGTCATTGGCCAAAGCACATAGTAGTAAAAAGGAGCAAAATGTAAGAATTCCTGCATGTTTCAACAGGTGTGGAGCAGCATACTGCCCTCATGTCACAGTATGTATGTCAAAATACTGTTCATGAATTTTGAGGCAGGGAGAACTAAATAAATTTGAGCTTCAGAAAATTCTGCCAGATTGCAAAGGGTTACATGAATGAGATGGATTTGCTTTTAATAGCATATACATATTTTGGTGATCAATTCTAGGCTGCTACTATAGTTCTCTGATTTTCTCTAGATGGCAGGAGCATCAGATTTACACTAGAGAACTGCTTAATACCTCATTCTCCAATTTTTTTAATATTTTCTCTAATATCACTTTATTTTTCACTCATATTTCAAAGATACCTGTGCAGTCTTTATATACAAAGGTCTTGTCTTATTCCTTCTCTGCTGGGGTTCACAGAATGAAAAAGGCATCTCTAGTTAGAGCAGCTACACTGGCACTTTGAATTACGCAACTGCACCTTCCTTTGGAGAACATGTATGTATCTGTTTTGAAGAACAAGGGAGCATAATTTTTCCAGTTAAGAACTGGAAGAGTTATTTTTAAAGATAAAGGTAGAATAAAAGTTACAAAAACCTTCATTGCCAACAGCAGGCAGAATCATTTTTTACTCTGTTATTCAACCTTAGTAAAGCTGATCAACTCCACACTACAGCTGCTCCTTTCTCATTTTCAGCTGCAGTGAAGAATATTGACTTTCATACATACACTGTCCAACACCATAGGAAAACATGGAGAAAGCCTTGACATTTGAACTTTTGCTTCAGTATGTAAAAAACACTACGTACATTTTTGAAGCCTTGTTTCTTAAATTAGGATGGTTGTGTTTAAAAACATTCCATTTGCTACTATGTAAATTGCAGATATCTGAAATTCCCTTTTCATGCTGCTTCCTTGGCAGAAAGGTGGTAGCAGTTTTTGTTCTATCCTGCATGTTCTTCTGGAATCCAAATATTTTTTGTCTATGTCATGAAAAATAAAAACCTGCTGCAGTCTGCTTTGGTTTTAATAAAGTGTACACAGTAGCAAAGTGCATTTTGTTTGGCTTTGTTTGTTTTGATGCTCCCTTTGATGTTGGCATATGTATATATTTAGATATACTTCACTGTTGTACAAGAATTGTTTTAGTAAATAACACTATTTGTAAAAACTGTTTTTTGGTATGAATGCAAAATATTAAAGTTGGAGTATTTAGTTCATTATGTTGCAAAGTCAATTTATAAGTTTTATAGAAGAATATTCTGGCAAGGACTTCTTTTGCTGGAAAGACTTAGAGATACAGTAAGCAAGGTCTGTTAGAAGTACTTACATTTTCTGGTTTCAGATGGGTTGGAGGTGGGGTTTTTGTTTGTTCTGGTCGGGGAGGATTTGTAGGTTTTTTGTTCTTGTTTAATGCTTACACATAAATTACATTATCTTTTTAAACACATCCTGTCATTGATTTCCTTCAGCTAACCCAGATAATCCATTGTATATCTTATTTCAAGTATGCTGCATGTCCTCTGTCTGTTGGTAAATACAGCATCAGGATTTTAAAGAACAAATGGAAACAATTGTGTCTGTACTATCTGATGTATATATTTAGTTACAGATGAATAAGCTGATTCTATGGTAGCTTGACAGTTCATTCCATTTCTGATGACAGCAACACAAAGTAGTGTAGAACCTGGTGTTTTGATCAATGTGAAATATCTTGAAGATCAGGCTAAAAGCTGGTTAATGAATCTTAAAGTGCTATTAGAATTGAAGCTTAATAGAATTGACAACTGTATGCTGTGTTCTTACAACAGTGATAAGCATAAATCTCTTGCTTAAATTGATGTAGACACCATGCATGGGACTTTGGGAGCAGTGAGCAGCAGTATCAGTTTGCCTGTTCTTAGGGCCACTTCCTAAAGATGTGAGCCAAACTCCTTAGAATAAGAGGTTATGTGGATTGTGGGTTAGTTCAGTAGGATAATTTGTGTCTTTCAAGAGAATGTCTATTCAGTTGACAGAATTAAAAGTTCTGTAGATTGTGTAGAAATGAAATTTGTTCTGTTTTGGATCAGGGAGAGGCAATTTATGTTGAGTTTGCTTTACTGCCTATCTCTTTTAGATAAGCATTTCTGTTGAGATGCCTATGATAAAAATAGATTTTGAGAGTTTGTTTCATAGTATTTAAAGTTTATTGTAAAATCTGTTGCCATGAACCTGGGCAAGAGATAATATAAGCATGAAGTCTGTGTTTAAGAAGCTGGAACCAACTCTTAAACTTTTGAAGAACTGGTTCATCTATAATCTCTTCATAGCACTCACTTCATATCATATTTATGAAGCTGGAGACTTTAATGAATTGTCTTATTACTCTAACTAGTTTTTGAAATCTTATTCTACTGTGTTGCAGGATAAAGATTTTTCTCTCTCGCAATATATTTAAATTTCCCAATTATTTTGAGTCAAGTCTGTTTTTGTTGATACTCATTGTGATCTATGTTTTAAGTGAGAAATGAGAATTAAGCCATTATGAGGGAACCTTTGGGAGAACTTCCACTGATTAAGGCTGATTTGTGCTTTTTAAAATTCACATCTACCCTGGGAGTGTACATGGGCAACACACACTAATGTAGATAATCACATAGGGCTAAAAAAGACAAACGCATTTTTAGCATACAATCTTCTGATAGAATATATATGGAATGTGGTGATTTTGTCACCTAATATTTTACTTTGACTTTGCTTAACCCTGTTCAGCA